CACTCTTTCTCATTGGTCTGTATCATTTCCCTTTCTTCCATTTTACTCCATGGGGTAAAGTACACCTGCTCTTTGCTGGAAACTTTCTTGTACTGACATTTCATACCCACAGCAAAGAAGGGTTATGTGCCCCAGCACCATGCAAATTCCCCCATTTTTTTACAGGGAGGAGAGAAACCATGTCTTATAAATTAACATCTTCATCCTGTGAAGGCTCAAGAATAGTGGCACAATGACCTTTGTGGCTCTTTTTTGAATGTTCATCTCCAAATAAGTTTCACTTAAATTATTCTGGGATCCCAGCATCCAATGCTTTATATTACATTCAGAATGTATGGGGTTTTCTTGTGGTTTTGGTTTGTGTTTGTTTGGTTTTTTCCCCTCTCCATTTTTTGTATCTTTATCCTTAATAAGAAATAGAATCAGTTTAGCAGTTGATTCAACTGACTTGGTGATGAACTTGGTTTGTCCTTGTCTACATTTTCACCTGGAGCTTTCACTGCCAAGTTAGGCAGACTGATAGCAGAAGTGCCTTTGCTTTCCAGTGCAGTAGATACATTTTGAAATTCTGTCTATTATGTTATTTCTGGTAGATTAGAAGTACATCTAAATACCTGTGTTGAAGAGGAAAACATCTTTCAAACTGCGGAGCTCTTGCAAGATAAGCTATCAAGATTCAGCATTAATTGCTTTCTAAGCACTATTTGTGCAAGTCCATGGTATTTTGGCAAAACTGTAAATTAGCTTTTGTCTGAGATGACTGGAAGCTAAACTGAGGAGTTTAAATACTCTCTTTTTTTAATTCTTCTAGTCTCCTGATGCAAGTGAAAACAGCTGCAACAGGTGAGTTACCAAGCCAGTGCTGTAGAGAATCCATTCTGATTTGTATTCTGTATTTTTTACTGAAGACTTCTGCAGTTCACTTTGAAATTGATTTTTCAAACACAACATCCTCCTTGATACTCCGGATTTCCTTTACCTATAAAGTTGTATGAAACCTTGCAAGAGCACAAATAGTGAATGGTTCCTTCTGCTTAAGATGTGGCTAGACACAGCAAAGCAGGTTTAGGAGATTTGGTTAAACACTCAGCCAATGACAGCAAACCACACTGGATCCAGATGCTTGATCTCAGTATGGATGTGAACTCTCTGGAGCTAGAAGAGTCCAGATGCTTGTGTTTACATCTGGATCTCCAGATGCACTCTCAGGCCTGAGACTAATGCAACTAACTGATTCAAGCCCAGCAGTTCACTAGTACAGTATGCCACTTGCACAATTTTTAAGATCTTGTACTTTCACTTTGTGTTGGAGCTTTTTGGCATCAGTTAAACTGTAGCACATTCTGAATAGCTCTACAAACTTTCACAGCATGCTTTCCAGATATAGTTCTGAGAAATACTGGGATACCATCTTGGGAAGACAGGAAACAGACCAGGATGACCTTTGTCATTTCAGCTTCTTCACCAGCACCACAGCTACCAAGTTTGAATCAGTTCCTGGATGGCAGTGTGCTGAAAGCACTCTCCTCCATTATCTGCAGGCATCAGTTGATTTGGATTTTTTTTTTTTTTAGTGTGTACATAAGAGCTCTTTAGAGGTACCATAGAAGCCACTGTGTTGCTTGATGTGATACGCTTTCTAGAATACCAGGCTGAGCAAATACTCCGTGTTGCCATCTCTGGTAAAAATCTAATTGTCTCCAAAACATCTTTTTTTTTCTGAAGGCATGAAAGTGGAGGCAAATTACAACATACATGTTGGCAAAGGAGGTTTAAATTACATGTGTCCCTTAGGAAGGTAAAAAACCACCCCAAACCTGAACATTTTACCCTGAGTATATACAAGTAATAAAACAGGCTCTATTTCATGTACATTTCAAATAATTATCAACTTGACTAATGCATTCCATTCTATGCCACCAAACCTTTGCCAAAATTAATGTTCATTATCAAATAAGTTAAAGTTGAAAACAATTTGTAAAGTCACCCAGTAAAAATGCACCTCGCACACTATTTCAGTGTAAACATAAAGGTCTGTGATAAAGGTTTTGGGCAGTTGCACTCTTGCTAATCTTCTCTGCCCTTCATTTTATTACAGTCTAATTCAGTGCATAGTTAAACTGGTTGGCAAACTTCTCGTGCTTTCTTTGGTCCACCCGGTTCATTGCTTTCACCACCCGTTTCACAGCCTCTCTGAAACAAAAAAATAATAAAACCAGTTAGGTTGATTCTACACAATCTCAGAGAATGTTTATGAATGTTGAGGGGGAAAAAATGAACTATGATTAATCACTACCAGGCTTCTGAACGCTGCACTGATGAGGCTGAACAAATTTGTCTTGTTAACTAAATTAGCTGCAGCAATACAAATAGTTTAATTCAGCAATGATTTTATTAACAGGAGTAAACAAATTAAGTCTTTCAGTTCAATGGCTGTGCATTCCGCCCCCCAGCATTATTTCCGATAGTTGCACATACCAAGTCTGATTTTCAAAAGTACCTAATTCCTCTTGGGGGGGGAAAAAATAAAGTATCTAACAGGATCTAAAAAACACTAACCTCAGAAACCCTTATGAAATTTGCACACCTGGTAGTGTGCACCAGCCTTTTTCAGGATCAGGCCCTACATACTATTCCAGCTCTGCTCCTGTATTATCTCTGAGAGGCAAGCTGACTTCTGTTATAGCCAACTGCCCTCTGTAACGGCTTCATTTCAAAAGCCATTTTGAAACATCTGAAAACAGAGGATACTTCTTAATAACGCTTCTAAATGGTGGGATTAAAGATTTTCTCAGCAGCAACTGTAATGAAAACCAACATTCTGAAAAAACACCTTGGAAGAGGTATACTTTTAACAAAATTCTGCCAATAAAGTTATCAGAGTAAGGAAAATGTGGTCAGGGTGTTGCACTTCAAATATTGCCTAATTGGTAGGAGAAAAGTGAGCCTTTAGCAGCGCAGAGTGGCCTTGACACTTTCATGTCATGTAGGTTTTACATTAGCACCACTGGATTGTGCGATACTGTAAATGAAATGAGATCCCACTTTGATGATCTGTGTGCAATTTCACTTAACTTTATTGGCAGACTCGAGCCTGGGTTTATCACCTATACATTTCAAGTAATTTGGGGTTGTTACAAGGAGCCAAGGTTATCATCTTGTTTAGTGCTGCAAAGCATGAAACCTATTAAAACATGACAGGTTTGATTCACTATGCCTGGCCGTAACACGCACTCAAAATCATTAGTACAAAGCATAGTAAACCAATAACAGCTTTTAACATTTATTTTGTTAAAGCTGATATGAAATGCTGATCAAGGGAACCGTATGTCTTCAACTTCTAACTAAGACCAGGTAACATGAGAATTTCACAGAAAATGTGCTATTTCTGTAACTAAAAGCAATGCAGATGTTATTGTTATAACATTACATCGGAAAAGAGAAAAGAGTTTAAACAAATGTGCCTTGGATACTGTTCAACTCATCCAGTACATTAAACCAGCACTGATGATTTTATAATAATTATTTTGGCTTTTTGATTTGAAAGCTTTTTCCTTTTTTCTCTTTCCTTTGACAACTTCATTTTTGAGATGTGAAACTCTTTAAATAGCTGCAGCTGCTTCGATTTGATAAAGACCAGAACATGCTCAGGCAAATTTATGTTGCAGCCACATCTAACCAAGACTAGATATCAGAAATGGCATAACAGAATGGACACATGGAGCTGCTGTATGTTCTAAAACTCCTTCAGCTTGGTCGGTTGGTAGGCTCCCACTTCCACCTGAACTCGTGTGCCTGCTTTGAAGTTAACTCATGTATGCCTACATAAGTTGTGGACACACCTTTGTTCCAAGTGTCTAAATGCCATCCAAACAGTTTCTTCTCGAACTAAATGTAGGCCAAGAGCTACTGTTTGCACATGTGCTGGGAGATGTACAGAAACAGCACCATTGTGGGAAGAATACTGTGTACATTGGTCTCTGGTACAAGAAACAATCATCTCCAAACACACTGAAGAGAGACCTGCAGCAGGTTCCACTCCTTAATATTTACAACAGACAGCAGGGGTTAAGTGACCAAGGACTGTGACAACACAGGGGTCCAAAAACTTTCTTTAACCAACTGAATGCATTCTCACTAAAGGAGGAGAAAAATGCAATGGCAGCGTGTCACTGAGCAATGCACAGGAGGGGATCACTGTGTGCACATACTGGATCGGAAGGCACTGCCTCAGGCCCAGCCAGCAGTTCAGTATACCCAAGAGTGAGAGAAAATACACAGAAAGCCCGGGTAGCAGTCAAAAGTTTGGGAGGGTCTCTGAGCATACACCAGAGGCTTGAGGGCAACCGCCAAGACATCGCTACATGCCCAAAGCCAAGGGGTTTTGACAGATCCTTTTACTAATTGAAATTTTGCTCAGGGCAGCCCATCTTAGGCCTTTAAAAGGAAAAGCTCCATTTTCACTCCATCTACACTACTACGGTGTGTCTGATGCTGTAAGCTGAACATGTCATCTTCCTTCCAGATCTAGTGCTACTTGCACACATGAAGTATCATCCATCTGATTAACAAATGATCATCTAGACAAGCCACTACAGCAATTGAAGGAGTAAAAAAAAAAAAAAAATCAGAAGGATGAAAAAAAAATAGGGAAATTCTGTAAATTAGCTGAAAGTTATTCTCAAAGAAATAACACTGGTCATCAGCACCTGCTACTCTCCACCCCCCAGAGATATGGAAGGATTTCCTGCTCTGCAGTTAGCAAAGAAAGTTGTTTAGTTAGTGCATGTTAATGTAGAAACAGAAAGAACTGTTGAAACAAAGGGAAAGCAATTTAATAGGCTTTAGTGAATGTAAGCATCTTACTTATTGAAGACTTTCTTCTCAAGCCGGGAACGAGACGTATTAGCCTGCTGTTTCAGGTCTGTCAGATGCGGATATTTTTTCTTCGTCCCTTTCTTTTTGCCTCCTTTTCCACTATTTTTAGAGGAACCAAGATCAATTCCTGTAGCTGCTTCAACTTCTCTCATGAATTCTGGATCTCGCCACTCTGAAAGGAAAAGCATGCACTTTGAAACTCCAAACCCAGGCAGAATTTGCAGTCTCCTGAAGTACAGGCTCTTGTCACCACTAGGCGAGGGCAGAGTGACCGTGTGGTAAGTTGCATACACAAAGGAAGGGGAGGCTAAAGCAGTTAGCCAAAACAACAGATCTTGGTGAAAAAGCCCTGCCAGTCTGGGATTAGGTTCTATTATTAGCAGCTGTAGATAAAACTGTTCTGTAGGAAGACTAACATTTTCCCAGCAGCAAAATTTCAAAGAAACTATTCCATGTAGGAAAGGTGACAAACACAGTGATTATTATTTAGAAATCGAACAGAATGCCAATAATATAGCTGAGGAACTTATCTCCACAAATAAATTCAGAGTAAGCTTAAAAATAAACCTATAAAATGGAATATGTCAACTTCTGAAAAAAATGGGGGCGACAGCATTGTAACTCTTCTGCATCAAAGAATCATATTTGCTTCAAAACACACAACTGGTGTCTGACACCTAAAGAGCATTCTTGAATAAGGCAACAGGACCCTGTTGCCATGAGCTAAATTTTGAATGTGAAAAAGATATTAATTTTTAAGTATGCCACTATTCCTCAGTTTAATTATCTAAATCAAGTTTTTTTATCTTGACAATAGCACCAGAATTAATTTATCTGATAAAAAAACCTTGCTTTACACTGGTTTTATCAAATCCAACCATACATTGTAAACGGATTCTGATCATAGATGTCAAGGCAGGAAAAAGCATAAACAAGTGGTCTTTCACCTTTAGCGCAGACTCTTGCATATCAGATCAAGTTATCATAGAATCACAGAAAGGTTTGGGTTGGAAGGGACCTTAAAGACCATCCAGTTCCAACCCCCCTGCCATAGGCAGGGACACCTTCCACTAGACCAGGTTGCTCAAAGCCTCATCCAGCCTGGCCTTGAAGACATCCAGGGATGGGGCATCCACAGCTTCTCTGGGCAACCTGTTCCAGGGCCTCACCACCCTCTCCGGGAAGAACTTATTCCTGAGATCTAATCTAAACCTCCCCACTTTCAGTTTAAACCTGTTACCCCTTGTCCTGTCACTACACGTTATCATAATATGAAGTAGAAAGTAAAAATGTGAGTAGAAGATGGATAACTTCAAGCGGAAATTTAGACAAATGGCATTGCATTGTAAAGGTTTTGAGCGTATGGGTTGGAAAAACGTATCAAGTACCACCCCAAAGAGTAACAGTCAAGACTCAGCATAAATGTCAGAATTCTGTATTTTAACAACCAGTAACTACCAGTCGCTTGCCCTATAGTTTCCCATACATCAGTCAGCCTTTCTTGCCTGCAGAAACTGTAACACCAAATGTCTGCTACTCTTATTTAACAACCATGTAGATACAGAAAAACAAACAGTCCTAAACATCTGTACAATTTCGCTCATATACCAAGATGGTCACTGAGCGTGACAAATGTTGGTTACAACATTTCAGGAAGGTCAGAGGCGACGTCCTCACTTACGAACACAGCGTTTAGGAGTACCAGAGCAATTTTCCAAGGCAAGGTTAGATCTAACCTACTCTGATACATGAAAGCAAGGACTGATTAAAATCCACCACACCAAAAAGCATGAGGAAAACGAAGCTGTGCAAGAACTGAGCTGCAGAAGTATAGAGAAAATAGAATACATATACTTGATAGACCATAAGCCTTCACAGATGGTTTTTTTTTTTTTTTTGAGGTGAAGGAATACAGAACAGCACAATTCAGATACAGGAACGATTAATCCAAGATTAAGGAAAAGTGTCTAAACAGTTTATCTCCCAGTAATAAGAAGGCGTCACAGTTTAGGAACCCAGTGAATGGAGCAATGGTTTAAACACAACGAAAAAATGCCGGCATCCAGTAGAGATGAAATGAGCATTTGAGTAAAATGAAGGAGCAATTTAAAAGCCTTTGAGAAAAATCAATAGAATGCCAGGGAAGAGCAGCCTTTTTGAGCACTGATGGGCCCCTAAAGCTCTTCATACATTGTTACTGAGTTTAGCAGCAGGGAAAAGAAAATTACACAGTTTGCAAGGGTAGGCGGGAATCAATACTGTAGTTAGTAAAGAGATGCTATTTCACATCTGACTGGCCAGCGGCTTGCCTTCACCAGCCTGTCCTGATACCTGTTTGTTAACAAGTCACTAAGGGCTGAAAAACCAGATACTCTTCAGGGTTGACACAAAAAATAGGCACTTAATTTGCTCCTGTGTGCGAACTATTGGAAAAGGATGAACACTGCAGATTAGCAGGTCAGTGTAATCCCACCTGATTCATTGTTTCAGGACCAAAGACCCCAAAGCACCATTTTGTGGACATTAGCTAGAGTTTAAAATTTTATAGTGAATTGAAAAGTGCTCTACAATAACAATGATACTGTTGTCAAAACATAGTAATTATCACACAAACTCTACCACTTTTACGTAAATATTTTCCCCTTCAACCACATGAGGATGAAAATAAACCTACCACCCAGCAGAAAAGAGATGTAGGAAGAATTTTGGTGCAATTTAACAATGCAACTGATTCCCAAATTCAGTTTAATTTAAAGTTTATCATTTTTCAAACTGTCATCATTAGCAAGCGATGTTGATTGTAAGACCAAGGCACACACTGTATAGAGTGGGTCCCTACCTGTCTATTTTCCATAGCAGCACTTCTCAGAATTGCTTCAAGTCCTTTGTAAAAAACAAAAAACTAACCAAACAAACCCCAATGCAAACCAACCAAATCTCTATCCCTGCCCCAAACCACAAGCCCAAAATAAACTACAGACCATTTTAAAAGCTCGATGAAAATATTATAAAACGAATCTAAAAATGATCAAGCACAGAAAAAAATAAAGCAACAAAAAGCAGCGGACAAAAGTAGTTAGTGACATCTGGTATACATATGGCTTTAGAAACCTGTAAGGTTTTGTCCAATAAATTAAGTGCCATAGCTCGTTCAGTATCTCCCCAGACAGATGGGATGGACCTTTGTATGACATCTCAGCTTAACAACAGCACTCAATAATGCAACACAGCAGTGTCAACACTGGTTTGGGACTAACATACACATCCTTGTGGGCCAGAGGTGAGAAGCCTCTAACACCACCGAGCTGACACTGTAGTAAAAATAAATATTATGTCTAGCCTCAAGCAATGGCAATTTCACAGGGGGAAAAAAAAAAAATCAATATTTTTCAGTGCAAGTGATTTTTACACCAGAGTATTAGTTTCTAGTTTGAAACTAGTCCCTCAAGAACACCTATTAGTTTAATTTGCTAGTTTTAGTTTGTCGTAACTAAGTCGGGAACTTTCCTCTGCTGCCTTCACGTTGTGCTGGTAATTGCCAAGCACAGTCACTCAAAGATGGCCACATATGTATTAAAAGAAACTGGGTGTATCAGGTGTATGTTTAAATGCACATTCACTAGACACAGACCTTTTTGGGTAACAGATCAACAACTGGTCTTTACGCTCTGAAGGGGTTTCATGGAAGGTTTAGTAGCCTCATTAGTATACATGATTCTGAAACTGGTGAAATCCTGAGTCAGAGTTTAAGAGAGAACTAACTCCTTAAAGGAATTATACAAGACATCAAAATGATAAAGCTTATGGGTGAGTTCAATTAGAATGCAGACTACTCACATTTAATACCTCAAAACAGAGAAAACCAAGACCACTAGAAGAAGGCAGATTAAGTAAGAGCTTTGAAAACAAACCTGTCCCCTCCAATTATACATTATGTCTTTGTTGGATAGGTCCCTCTCTCCCATCTTCCTTTGCAGTCCATCAACTTCCAGGTTGCAGTCCCCCTGGCTCTGTGAAAATCTACCTCTGTCCATCACTAATGAGCCTTAGTTGTAATGTTGCAAAAAAAGTGTCTTATTCCCCTTGGAAGCTGTCCTGCCTGTGTGTTCACTGCTTTCTGCCTTCCTCATTGCCTGCATTCCTTACCTAGCAGCCCAGAGCTTTATCCTGGCTAAAAAATCCCAAATAGTCTTGGGGAAGGATGGGTCTTCCCTCCAGACTATTCCACACCCGAAAGCAGCAACCAGGATGCAAGAAGAAGGCCATTAGTTTTGTTGTGTTGCACAGTAAACAATAAAACAGCCAGGGTCTGCTTGCTCCCTCACAAACATCACACCTGTGAGAACATCCAGACTAGTTACAATGCCACTAAAGTAAAGCCCAAGGTGAGGGCTTCCCTACTTCGGATTATTTTCTAGTGACGCTGCACAGGTGCACAGCACAGCAAGATTCAGAATTCTCCTTCTAAACCATGAGTAGTAAATGAGTAGATACAGGAAATATAGACTATGATATATATGAATAGATATAGGGAAAAAAAAGTTTCTGCATTGTGACAAAAACCCCATTCTGCCAATACCCGTGGTAACACAGTGAGCCTAATAATATTATCATTACATTATGTAAATCATAACTGTTAGGGACCAGCAAGATTAGATGACTTCTTTTCAGAAGCATGGGAAGAGTTACTGTCAAGCATTTCCCAGGAAATAAGTTTAATTATCTTCAATAAACATGTTCCTTAAGATAAAGGCTGTAATTCATCTGTTTGAGGTGTGCTAGGGAACGTTATGATAACCACTGGAAATAAAGAACAAATGCAACGTTAACTTTATCCTATGTACACCTGCATCCATATTTATCACAGAAGCCAGAATCACTGCAAATGATCTGCAAATTAAAACCAACAGGAATTTAAATGAGAATGGGGTTAAGAGCAAAGCAGAAATATGATCCAGTTGCGTGGGTCTCAACCTGTGCCTTTAGGAACAAAAGAATCATCCCTCTTCCTCCATACAGCCTGTCTCACCACTGTCCAACTGTATACCAAGATTGTTGTCCAACTTGTATCTACACTGTACCTAAAGAGAGACGCAATATATACAACGTATTGTAGACACAATCTAAACAACATATAGATACAATGTCAATACAATATAGACAATTATTACATGGATTTGAAATATACTGTAGATATGGTAAATATTGCATACAATATATACACAAACACATACACAATCAAGATATTACACTTGCATTTAAAGCTTCTCTCCCACCTCTGTCGAATTTTTTTTCACGATGCCATGCAGACACAAACCTGGCTGAGCCGCCTGCTTCTCAAACCGCATCTTTTCTTCTCTGGCTCTGTCCTCTGCATTAATGGGAATCCCAGAGTCATCCCGAGGAATTATCTTTCCGTGGAAGGGGCACTTCAGAAAGAAAAGGAAAAAATCTCCAAATTTCTGAACAAAAAGAGAATGCTTATGTGTTCTTCAACATAGCTTAAAGCCAGACACTTGAATCAGGTGACAAAACTCTACACTCTATCCCCAGTCCCCCTTATGAAGCATCAGGGTCCCATGATATCAATATCCAACTTCAAGAGGCCAAGTAGCACATCCCGTCAAGTCTGGAACTAGGACACCAATGCTGTATTGTATTTTGTTGTTTATGCTGTAGCCCTATCCTGTAACAATCGAATTTAAAAGTATTTTATGCATTCAGAACATTCAGCCTCACGTAATACAGGAAGAACAGGGATATTACAACAAAGTATTCAAGCAATTTATTTCTGCTTGATAGGGCTCATAATCGGAGGCTGTGTAGGATTTAGCTTTCATAAAACCTAATATGTAAATGAAATCTCTTTGTCCCTCAAACACCTATATTTCTAAAAGCAGTTAATATCAATTACGCCTCTAAATGAGGAAAACTTTTCAGTAAACAACTAACTGTCTCTGCTTCACTGTCAGGTACTCAAACATCACAGTATAAAATATAATATAAATACCTATGATGAAAGCCAAAAGTATTGGAGAGTTCTTTAAATGTTTACAGATTCCTTAGAGAAAGGATGGTCTTCACATGAAGCAGATAGCAACAGCAAACTTCACCAGATACCATTTTCTTTCACTGCCTTAAGATTTGTTTACAATGTCAAAAAACCTTTTATGGACATGTTTTAATGAGATCTTCTCTACAGAGCACATATCCTGGAAGTCATGTTACTTGGCACCCACCTTAATCCGGTCTTGTCTTTCACACAGGCTTCCATCAGGCATTGGTGCTCGACACTTATGCTTCACTGGTTCAAACTTGCCAGCAAATGTTATATATCTAGTTTTTAACATTTCGGTTATTTCTTTATTTTCCACTTCTTCTTCTACTTCACTGGGTGCCCAAAATCGATGCTCAGAAGCAAATCTGGGAAAAAAAATGAATGAAAATCATTCACAAAGTCATAAGAAACCACATAAAGATGCCAGTATTATCCCATGGTAAACTCAGATGGAAAAGAAAGGGAAGCTTTACTAGTGAATTAGAAAGAAGACAGGAATCTACCATTTTTCTTATGACTTCTATATTATGAAGATATTTTTAAAATATTACCAAATCCTGCCTAGCATTGATTTCTCATTTAACCTGCTAATGTATTACACGTACTAGCTCTAGTTCGTGAGCTGGCATTGAGTCAGTTATCCGATACCCAGCTTCAGTGAATAGTTTTGTAATTCTGTAGTTAACATTCTTCATAACAAAATACTTCTATGACTAAACACAGAAGAGAGATCAGGGAGGAAACAGTTCAAGCTTAACTTGTCTGCTCTTATTCCTGGTAGCTGTATGCCTGTAGCAGCACAAAAGCAGATGCTGAAATCCAGAGGATGTTGCAATATAATTGGACCAAGAAAGAGAGTGAACGATTAGCTGAGCCTTACAGAGATTCTTTCTTGTAGGTTCTCCTATACAGTGTCCATAAGTCTGAGAAACTTATGGGATGTTCCTCTAGGAAATTAAGCTAATCCATTGAAAATCTATTTGAAAATTAGAGATCCTACCTGTATTTACAGACACACATAAGCGAATACACTCTTTGTTAATCTGCTGAAAAGAAGATTAGTACCATAGTGGACATGGAGAGTGGGAGAGAAGGGGAGCAAGGACCCTTGAGTGGTGTAGTATTTGCAAATTTTCTCAGTAGTATTCATATAATTTCCTTTTAGCTGCCCTAGGCTGCCAATAGTCTACAATGAGAAACAGGCAACCCCAGAGAGTAATTACCTGACTCATTTTAGATGCTAACCTTAGGATGCTATGACTGTCCCTCTGATGGTACATGTTTCTTTCTCCTAATCATGAAAAGAAATAAGGTTGACCATCTTAAACTTAGATACCTGGCTTTAAGACATTTGAGTTCAAACAACAACAATTACATCCCAAATTTAAGAAAATATGAAACTAAACAGAAAAAAATACAGCTAAACTAAACAAAAAAATTCTAGCCTGCATGTCAGCTGTTTATTACAAGTGAAATGGAAATATCTAGATTACAGATGCCTTGATAAGGACTTAAAATTCATAAAGGACTCTTTACAGTCCCAGACTGATTTGAGAGGATTTTCTCTATCCATATCCAATTCCTCTCACTCATTAATAACTTCGGGTGTCGTTCCAAGACATTGTCTTCTGTAGACTGCCAAGCCACAGATACAGGAACACTGGCTTCACTAATCAGAGTGACCTCAGTTCAGCGAAGAACATATGCCAATACTTACAGAATTACTTCAGTGGGCCTGAAGAGTTTAGAAGAATTTTATCTAAGCAAGTTTTCAGCAAATGACCAGGTAAAAAAAAAAAGGGGAGGAAATTATCTGCCCTTAGCAATGGACATCATCTACAGCTGCTGGTTTGACTGCAATAGTTGACCATTTAAAACCATGCAAAGAGGTTAGAACTAGGTTAAAAAAGGGGTTAAGCAATTTTGAGCTATTCTATGATGTGCCAAATCATAAAAAAAAGTTCAACAAGTAAAATCTCCATCGAATATACTTGACTAGTGCCAGAAAAATTCTAACCTGCCATAAAGTACAAATAATGTTCTTCTGGTAAGTCAGGGGATAAAGGCAGAAGAGCTATAGTGGGGTTAGTTCAACATCAAACACAGTAATATGGTTCCACAATTTATGATTAAAAAAAAAAAAAAGTTTTCAACTGCACAATTCTGCAACTATATCCTAAACAAAAAACTCCAAGAACCTTTATAATATACCAATAGGACTCCAGGCAAACGTTTGGATGGTACAGTAATTTAGCTTCAGAAATTACGTGGCAGGATTGTACAACAGAGACTAAATAAAAGAATGAAATATATTTCTTATTTGCTTAGTTTTAATGCAGTCCTGAAAACAAGGCTGACTCCTAGCTGTGTGTTACTAACCTTACAGACACAAGAAGGGGAAAGCATTCCTAAAGAGACACTATACAGGATTTCTACATGCAAGGTAGTCTTACAGAATCTCGTAGTAAAATTCAAGTGTCTGAACTCCCCTCCCCCTCTAAATTATCAAATTACAGTTACAAGAGAATGAAGAAGCATTTAACAGTTACGCATGCCAAACTGTTCAATTAGGAAAAAGTTCTATTTAATATTTTTTTCCACACTCCCCTCCTGCCTCCCAAATCTGCATCCAACACATCTCAAGGAAATTAAAATAGTGTTTTACTCCATAGAAAATTGATCAGTATTTGGGAACTGGACTTAAAATAGCCTGATTCCTACAGAGATATTCATAAACATTATTGTTTACTACAAGCAGATACCTTACTTTCTCCCAGCACAAGTTACAAGCAGGTGAGAAAAGAACAAAGCAGTGCTAACTCCCAAAGTTTCCTAATTTCCTGCTATTGAATTTAAGCAACATTTTAAAAAGGCAGATTATGAAATCTTTGAAAAACTGGTGCGCGTGACAAGTAAAACCTTTTTGTAGGAGGGATCAGAAGGGGGACAGATAATCATCTGGAAGTTCAACACCCCACTCACACTCATACAGTGTTACTGATCTAGACAAATAACAGAGGCTTTAATGGAAATTACATAGCTATGCATTAGGAAGAAGACAAGACAGGTAATGGTTAACTGAAATCTAAAGGAAAGTCCAGCTCCTGGAGAAATGTTCAACAAATTTATATCAACTTCATTCCTACAATGATGGGAAGCTTATCAAAAACTTGAATAAATATAAATGCTAAAACCAGTAAGCTGCATACAGACATCCTGAGGCAAGCACTAAATGAGCTAAGTCAAATATCCTAGTCACAGTCATAAGAAGTGCTGCACCAGCTAATTTATTCTGATCCTAAGAGTAAGGTAATTTAAGTCAAGGAGGAGGGCAGGTGAGTTTGGAAGGCCCATGCTATCCAAACTAGCTGGTTAAGCTGGCACAGCAGTCTCTACACAGTACAACACTGCAGTATACACTCCTACCCCCTAACCTCCCCCCCAAAAAAGTACTACAACAGCTTTATAAACTAATTTCAAGAGTTTTTAAAACTAGCTTAATGAGTTGTATGAGTGAAGGCAGAAGTAGGGAAAATGGTTCAGCCCAACCTTTCTGTAAAGCCCACAGTTAGTCACCTTCTAGACAAGGTGACAGTTCACCATTTACCAGCTAAACAGCACTTCTGTAGAAAATCGTCTTTCTGGTAGCTACATTCTATCAAAATCTCAATTTATTGTAAATATCGTAATTAAGTGTAGTGTTAAATAGGTGAAGGGGAAAGACTTTTCGACTTCAGATTTTAACAGTTCCAATTCCATACACATTCCAGATGTGTTGTCTGGTTTTTGGGTTTGCTTTTTTCCCTAAGCATCTTACAGAGGCAGCATGTGTGCATACAGAAAAGTTAAAGGAGTTGGCCAATGCCTACCTTAATTTTTCAATAAATATGTTTTATACCCAGGGGTCAATGGTATTGTGTGTGCAGTTACTTAAATTATCTTCAGTTAGATTGGCATATCTGTAGTTATAGACTATGAGGTTCAGAAGTGTGCCCTCTATTTTATTAGAAAGCATAAAAATAAAACAGTACAGCAGAAGGCAGACAGGTAGTGAAATATGCCTCTGATTTCACTTATGACTTGAATAACTCATTTGCAATGTAAAATAAAGCCTTACTAGCTTTTTGGCATTATCACAGACAAATGCTTCTTAAAGCCCTGCTGAAAATCTTAACCATTTTATAGGCGTTGAAGAGTGTACACCACACCAGACAGAATACCAAGCTTGGAGTGACTGTGTTAAAGCACAAACACAATTTTGTTACGTACAAAAGCACAATTTTGTTACATACAAAATTTCACTGACTTTCAATAATTTAAAACATACTTAAGTGTTTTATACAAGCAGATATATGGGCAACACTTTCCTCTCATTTCTTGTTGCAAAAACTGTCTTCAAACTGCAATCAATGGGTTGGGTTTTTTCTGTGTTTTGATAACAAAACTAAGTAAAATAATACTGCTGAGAATACAGGAGTTTGATTTGCAACCCAGCCACTCAATGGTCTTTGCCTTTTCTGAGCCAGGCATGGTACGCACCGATATTAACGTTCTGGTGGACTTAAATGAAATTTATACCTAGAGGGAGGACTTTGCATCCCAACCTTCGTACTAGTTCTAAAAAGGGTTTTAAAAACTGACTGCTAGAAACAAGTTCTGATGTATATCTGTCATGTCTTCTCCACAGCACTGCTAAACTCTCCCCAAGCCAGCAATGCTTCACGTCCAAGAAACACAACACTTTCCCAGACAAGAATGGAAAGCGAGAGATCCAAATTCAAATCCAGTAACTGCCCCCTATTTCTTGTGTGACTGAACAAGCATATCAATTTCCTCAGTCACCATTCTGTAAAGTCAGTAAAAACAACCTGGGCACCTCCCCAGTCTTTCTCCTACCTTGTGTGCTATTTATTTAGACTGCAAAGTCCGCAGCAAAGGGACCGTCTATCATGCAGTTGCATAGTACTTTGCATAATGAGGTACCAATTTAAACTGGAGTAAGTGATGCCATACTGCAAATAATACACAAACATGAAAGAGCAGGAAAAAAAATGTGCTTTGAAGCATCAAAGGATCTTTAATTAGCATCACATCTTCTCAAAACAAATAACATTTTAAGGTAGAATTTCTAACTTTGTTTATGGGTCCTACAGCACAAGGGAAAGAAGAAATTAATTATCAAAAGAAATAGCAGTCACCCTACTGCATGACCTCTGAGTACAAGTAAATCTATATATTTATTTAATTTGTCTTAAAAGAAAAAGAGCATTACTTGAGAATCTTCCCAGCGTTTGGCTGATCCTGTCCCCAGTAGTGAAGATCTAATCCAAAAGGCATGAGGGGAGCTTTAGCTCGCTCTTCTTCTAGTTTTCTTCTCTTACTGTCAGGCTCTTCCAAGGCTGCTGGCTCATTAGTTGCAGAGTCACTGGAGAAAATTGGGGAAAGTCAATACAGAACAGCAATGATCACAACTATTATTTCTTCATTTCATTAGGTTTTCATACCAAAGCTACTATCCTCCTAGCTGTAGGACTACAGCTACCTTTACAGGACAGTTCTTTTTTTTTTTCCTTAAAAAAGAAAGATACAGACCATGACCCCATACAAAGTACAGCACACTGCATCATGAAGCTTAACTGCACATTCAGCTAAAGCTACATTAAAAAAAAAGAAGTACTATACTATAGGCGTAGAAGCCTATAGATCTATCGGGGGCGGTAGTGGGTCATACACGCTGTACTTTAAAAGATCTACTGAAGTGGCAAACCGTTTTTAGAAAGACCTTGCTTCCGTAAACTCATGCCATGTTTGCTTGGCAGTCACACAGGTTGCAAAGGCTTGTTTTGTAGACAAAATTCCATCCTGCAGACTTGTAATACTCATTGTGCGACACCACTACTGAGTTTCCTAGTCCTCAAAAACCGGAGTACTGCTATGGAGACTTTGGGTATTCACTAGGAGAGCTTCAAATGCTCTTCATCACCTTACTGAAACATTACATTTTCTAAGGTTAAAAGCCAGAATGTACATGTGAACACTCCTAACTCTGGAGTTCTAATGAAGTAAACCCCTTTCTGAGGTTACATTCCAGTTTGCTGTTTTTTTGGGGCCAATGCAGAACTGTCTTTTCAGGACTATGCTAATACACAGATTACTCAGTCTTATCCCCAAATCACAGATAGACAAGGCTGGAATTTCAGCAAGTTTGGAATAGGACTGACAACAAATACATCTCTGGAATCAGTAAAATGCCTCCCGGCAGAATTGACAGCATAAGTTACTAGTAAGCAAGAGAGAGTTGAAAATACTGTCTAATTTAGCTTTAGGATATGTTCTGTTTAGTTGCAAACCAAAAATTACCCCAATGAATGGGGTTGGGTTTTTTTATTAGGAGAAGGAAACATTTTATGTTTTCATAGAGGCCGTTTACACCAAATAAAACCCAACTCAAGTGAGTAGTAAGATATTCCTTAAGAGCCTGGTGCAATCACTAACAAAATCCCCAATATTAAGCAGTGAATATACATTTCAGTAAAAGGATTGTAACTTCGAAATGAAATCAAGACAGCCTTAGCACCTTGCCTAGTTCACGAGCATTTTTCTCTGTGTTTTCATGAGTAATAAATATAATCAAGAGCAAGAGGTTTCTACAAGAATTAAAATAAAGATAACCTGGTATGTGGAGGTGGGAACTTTGGCAGTTTGTCTCTAATAAGTTTCAATGTGGCAGCTGCACAGGTTGGATCAAGTTCATCTTCATTCCCTTTCAGCTGGACGCGGGAGCTCAGTGGAGCTGGTCCTGTTGATGTCTTCCTTACTGGTGCTTTTGGAGGTGACTGGGGCTCTAGCCCTGCAAAAGAACTCTGTGTTTAGGAGGGATTCCCTTCTCCCACCCTCAATGCTTTACAGCACAGCCAGATAGCTGAGGATGCTGTTTACAAGTCTTACTGCTTTCATTTCACATTAGACATCCTTCCTACTCATAGACAAAGCACTATTTCTGCCTGTGAAATTTTTCTTGGTTTGGAACAGAAACATACTGCAGCGAATCAACTGTTAAATTTGTATGACATGGTGTGGTGCCAAAAACCAATGTTACCTCACCTTGGGAAGAAGGATTTTAATAATACATTTTTGCCTAAACTGCAATACTGTTTTTTGTATGTAAGTCCCTAGCATCATATCAGCTTGCTGGTATGTCACTTCTGTACTCAAAGTTGTATTAAGGTAAAATAGAAGAAAGGAACTATTGGCACTACTGTTTAACACCTAGAGTGCCAAAAGAAATCAAAGAGCAGTTGAAAGCAAACGGAAAGGGATACATCCATAGCCTCCTGTGTGCCAAGATTAATTCTTTATGGTGTCTCAGCAAAAGGTCCTGCTAAAACTCTCACAGCCTGGCAAAGAGAAACCAGTTCTGGGTGGGAGGTTCACCACAACACATGACTGATGAGAACGGGAACCATTGTCACCCAGCGCGGCTGTAGGGGACACATACCCAGTGAGAAAACTAAGTGTGTGTGTGAGGCACACCCCTGTTCTTTGATGATTCTCAACTACCATAGTGACCCTTCAGAGCTGAGAATAGACAACAAAATCTCTGGGTTTTTGCCTTCCTGATTTGTTAAGGGGCAGCCCCACTGAGAACAGTTGAGTTTTGATTCCTAAATACATCTGCAAACAGAATAATCTAGGGAACATTCTTTCACAGATACTAAAGCACACAATTTTCCAAGATAAAGTACCTAAGGGCTGGCAGAAGCAACGAGTATACCCATTGAGTATGCTCTAGAGACAGCAAATGCCTGAGCTGTATCTCAGGAACAAGCCCACTGCAAGGCAGTACCAGGCACCGATGTTCAGCACCAGCAGCTCAGTGGTGGGGCAACTTAATTCCTTTATACAACTAGATTAGACAGTCAGCATGGACTGTAATGATGCAGTCAGATAGGCTGAGGAGTTAGACAGCACCTGCCTCTACCTGCTGAGCTAGAGAAGCAACTCTATTAGCTGACAGTAGTAACAAGAACTTTTCAGCCAACAACAGTTAAAAATGGAGACACAACCCCTCACACTAACGCAACAGACTACATTTGCCCCCTCAGAAAGCCTTTTTATAAAAGAATTCATTGAAATGTAAGGTGCCATTCCTCAAAAAAACCCCATAAATTAACAGAAGAATGTGTCCTGGTTTCAGCTGGGATAAAGTCAGTTTTCCTCTAGTAGCTGCTACAGTGCTGTGGTTTGGATTTAGCATGGCAATAATGTGATAAGACACTGATGTTCTGGTTGTTTTGGTGTTTATACTAAGTCAAGGACTTCTCAGCTTCCCACACCCTGCCAGCAAGGAGGTCCACTGTGCTGGGAGGGAGCCCAGCAAGGTCAGCTGACCCAAACTGGCCAAAGGGACTTTGCATGCCACATGTGGTCATGCTCAGTATATGAACTATGAGGAGTTGGCTGAGGGGGGCAGCAATCATTGCTCGGGGACTGGCTGGGTAGCGGGTGGTGAGCAGTTGCATCACT